CATCTCCCCGGAGTCTTGTTCTGTCCTGGGGCCAGGACATCTGCTCTCGGCCTTTCTACTTCCAGACCCTTCCTCTATCCTTTTGAGCTTCATCCTCCTTCTGTCCTGAGCTTCAATTTACACCTCTGGTTTCATGAGTGAGAAACTCTCTGTCCCACCCCTGGACCTGCACTCCCATCCCCTTTGAAGGTGGGAGAGAGACCAGTGGCTCCTCACCCAAACATGCTCAACTCCACAAGCCACACATTGCAGGAGCCTGGGCCTGCTGTCATTCTGCCTCGAATGCCCTTCTTTTCCCTTTTATTTTTTCCATCTAAATGCAGCTCATTGTTGCAGGACCTGTTAACATCCATCCTTCATGGATCTGACTGCTCCTGCCCCCAACCGTCATTTCCTTCTGTGCAGTGCTCTTACATTTATAATCAATCCCATTCCTTTTAGATCTCAATTGCTCTGCATTTCCTTCACATAAATGGACCTCGGCTCCCAAAGTGTATGATAAGCAGGTTACAAAGGCAGAAGCAAGGTGTGCACCTTGCTGGTATTTCCCCAGCCTCGTCTACATAATGCCAAGCACACAAATTGGAGCTACCTGTAAATACCTGGTGATTAGTTTTTATGCCTGCAGCTCATCATGATGGTTCATAGGCATAAGGAAATCATTAACTTTTTGATATTAAATGAAGATGCCCAAATAATGCTATCAGCTTATGTTTAAATTTTTTTCCATTTTGACTAGAGTTAATAATGACATCTTCCCCCTCATGGAGACCCAACCCAAATGATTTTCTAGGTGGTTACCATAATTTTAAAGCACTACTAGGCTCCATTATGGTTCTTTGTTGGTGATTAGAAATGGGACCTGCCCATAAAGATTAATATGTAATTGTTTTGGCCAATGCAAAGTGCAGCCAGGAGCACACCACTCCTGATAGTCAAACCAGAGGGGTCAGTGATGTGTTTTTAACACTGATGAAGGGTTCGATGGCTCCTGATTTCAAGCTAAGAACTGATTGGGAATGGTTTCATTTACAACTCACTCTTAGAAAATTAAGGCAGAAGCATGTAGATACTGCAATGTCACTTTAGAGACTTCTCTTCTCACAGAACAATGCACACAGCGACTGAGCCCTATTTCTCATGCTCTGAGTCAGATACTGCGATGTCCTCTTATCTTAGACTCCCTGACTTAAGAGTTTGTTCACAAGGGCTGAACTAGACCTCTGTGGAAAAATCCAGCTGATGATGGTCCTCAGGTTTCATTCCCTGTGGCTTT